CTCCCGCGCTCTTCTCCACGCAGGTTTCAGCGCCTGGACTTTGTCTACCTCAACGCTGGGATCATGCCCAACCCGCACGTGAACTTCAAGGCTCTGTGGCACGGTCTCCTCAGCGGGTAGGAGATGTAGGGGGTCCCGTCCCGTGGGCAGCACCGGGAGCTGCCGTCCCCAGATGTGTCCTTGGGTCCGGTGCTGAGGAGCCCGTGTCCCTCCCTGGTGTGGGACAGAGCCCATCCCTGCGCTCCCGTGAGCGGGGTGGCTTTGGTGACAGAGGGCTCTGCTGGGCTGGTCCTGATCCCAGCTCTGGGGGGGCATGGGGAGGGCCAGGGGGCACCCAAAGCCTGCAGCCCCTGCACGGGAAATGCTGCTCTGGTGGAGTCTGCGTCTCTCTCCCGTTGTTGTGGTGCCGGGCTGGGTTTCTGCAGCTGTTCAGGGCTGTGGGTCTCAGTGCTTTGTGAAGCTGGTGGTGTTGGTGTGGGCAGCACAGGGAAGCTGAGCTGAGGAGCAGTGATTTGTGTCCAGCAGAACTGCTGGGGTGTTGAGCACTGGTGCCAGACTGGTTTTCTTGCCTGCGTTAGCTATGGCCCGAGGGCCTGGTTCCGTGCTGGAGCTTGGTTAAGTTATCTGAGCGTGAAATGAGGGAAGGAGATGTTGGTAGCGGTACTTTATCAGGGATCTTTACCAGACAGATCTTCTCTGGTCTGGTCAGTATTGAGGCCCTTGTGGATGAAGGAGCTGGCATACTCCCTAGACCTTTCCCATCTGTTCTTTCCATGGTTTGATGCTGCCCTCGAAGGTGAAGCTGTGCAGAGCCTGTGAGCTGGGGGTGCTGCTGAGGGAGGCCAGTGCTGGGTTCCTCCTGGCACTGTTCCTCACCAGCTCCTGCTCTTGGCTTCCAGGAAGGTGCTCCACATGCTGACCACCGCAGAAGGCATCATGACCCAGACGGACAGGCTGAATGGAGATGGGCTCCAGGAGGTGTTTGCTACCAACCTCTTTGGACACTTCATGCTGGTGAGGCTCTGTGGGAAGGTTGAAGCCTCAGTCTGATGTCTGATGTGGGTAGGGATGGGTCTGGGCAGCACAGATCTCACAGATGATGGAGGCTGCAGTCTGACGGATGAAGAATGACAAGGGTAAAGGCCTTGGCATCTGTTTAAATAGCAATAAATGGTGACTTTAGTTGCAAGAATTAATTAATTAATATAATTTTGAAGTTGCTCAAGTGAGCCAGCAGACAAAGGTCAGTCATATGTAGTTTTCAGTCCGGTGGGATAAATACTAAGGCTTGGCTGTATTAAATTCTGAGGTGCTCAGTGGAGCTGTCCAGCAGAGTGACAGCTGCTTGTACAAGTGTCTGCCTTTGGCTAGTCTAGGAAAAGCTGGCTGAGAAAGCTGAGAGAAGCTCACAGCCTTAGGTGCTGTAAAGTTATACCCTAAGACGTGTTAAATAAGTTAAGGATTCTTTTTCCAGGTTCGTCAGCTTCAGGCTCTGCTCTGCGGTAACGAGAAGCCCTCGCGACTCATCTGGACCTCCTCCAGCAATGCCAGGGAGTCTGCCTTCAGCCTCTCTGACTATCAGCATGCCAAGGGGCAGGAATCATACAGCTCCTCTAAATATGCCACTGACCTGACAAGTGTGGTTCTGAACAGGAAATTTAATGGCCAGGTGATGATGGGGTTTGCGTTGCTGCAGGGACCTAATGAGCTTCTGCTGTTTGTAATTATCATGACATTGTTGTTGCCTGGTTGCATTCATAGCAATCCGGTGCGTTCCTTAATGCACAGGTAAGAGCTAAACGTGGCTGAGGCTGAACTGGTGGTGTAGGGGGTGGAGAATCTGCCAGAGAGATTGCCAGATCCTGCAGTTCTTGCCAGGAAAACTTCCCAAAGAGGGAGATTCCGGGAGCGGTTCTTACCTTGCAGGCTCTTCTCTTCAGCTCAGAGTTGGTGTTAAAGAGCAAAGAGCCTCTGCTTTTTTCGGGTGTCCCTGCCCATCAGCACAGGGCTGCTCTGGCAGTGCAGGCTCTGCTGCTGCTCAGCTTTGTCTCAGTGAGCTGTACAAGCAGCTTGCCTTCCCTCTCCTGGGGGATTGATGGATTTTGTTGGCAGCTGCAGCCCTGGTCCAGCAGGTTGTGCCGTTCTCAAACACTTCTGGGGAAAATGGTTCAGTCCCAAAAGGCTGAGCTCTTCTGTCTTAAAGAAGAGGTAGCCTTTGGTCTGAGTGGGCTGTAATTTGTGGGATATCTCCATGCTGATCTGCATGGAGATTGCACCAGGAGGCTGCATTTCCTATCCTGGGGCTTTGAAATGGGCACAAATGTAACACAAACACTTCCAATCTGTGCCTCTTAAAAATCACTACATCCAATTGCTCTCTGCTCTGTGCTTAGTGGAGTGTCTGTACACACCCTGTCCTGCTGTAGTGGGAGGGAAGGGGTGAGCCATTCTTTTAGCTGTGGTGTGATTGCACACTGGCTTGGTTTCTTCTCTGCAGGGTCTGTATTCCAGTGTTGTTTGTCCTGGGCTCGTTATGTCCAACATGACCTACAGAATTTTGCCCATTTTTCTGTGGAAGCTGCTAATGCCCATCATGTGGTTGGTGAGTGGATGTCCTGTGGCACACTTCACTGCAGCCTTGCTGCTGCCTGTGTTGTTGCAGATTTCTTCCTTCTGTTGGGCTGGGCTCTCTGCAAACCTTCCCTTTCTCCTCTTGGGGCCCCAGTTTCCAGGCTGAGTTGGGAGCTGTGGTGCTGGGACTGTGCAGAGGGGCAGGGCTCAGCCCTGCAGTGTTTGTCCAGGCTCCCCTGGAAGGTTGGCCAGTCCTGCTGGTGGAACACCATCAGCTTGCTGGCAGCAGAGCTCAGGATGTGGCCCCAACTTGGCCCCTGTGCTTTGAGATGCTGTTCATTTCTAGAACAACCTGGTTTTCAGTGTTGTTCTTTCCATTCCTCTAGAAGGCAGTGTTGCTTTTCTCTTTCCAAGCCCATGGAAAGCAAAGCCTCCTGCTCTCTGTTGCCTCTCCCCCTGCTGCCCCAGAAGTTTCCTTGCCTTTCTTCCTCTGGCCTTCACCTTTCCAGTTTCCCTGCAGCCCTGTCCCTGGAGGCTGCCTGCTCTGAGCCTTGCTGCTCTCCCTGCAAGACTGGCCCTTCATCTTCAGCTGCCAGCTTGCAGCAGCTGGTCCTGACGGATCACATTTCTCCTGGCAGCAGAGAGGCAGTGCCTCCTCAGTTCTCAAAGCTGCCAGTCCTGCCCTGAGACCTTTCCAGAAGAGGCACCTGTGGTGTGTGTGGGCTGTTGCTCCTGCCTTGGGGTGAGCTCCTCAGGGAGTGACACTTGCTGGGGGCTCCAGAGAGCACTTTGTGCTGATAAAGGGATGCTTTAGTCTGTGTGCAGTGGTACCCACTGCCCAGTTTGAGAGGCATTTGTACCTCTGGCAGGTTATCTGGAGGTTTGGGCTGCTCAGGGCTTGCCAGCAAACCCTGGGCCACGGTACAGATTCTGCCATGTCCTTCTTTTCCCCTCAGATCCGATTTTTTGCCAAAACTTATACTCTGACACCCTATAATGGAGCAGAAGCTCACGTAAGTACTTCACAACTCAACTTTAATATTCCTTCCTTCTGGGTGGCTCCTCTTGGCTCTTGTGGCTTGAGCAAAGAGCTCTCAGCAAGGCTGGTGGGTGGTGCTGGGTTTGACCCCCAAACACCACACACCCTGGGCTGATCTGCCCCTTGGTGCTCTATGAGCTCCATCCAGTAGCCATAACATAAATGATCTTGGGAGAGCATCCTGTCCAGGGAGAGCCATGTGCAGCTCAGGGGGTGGAGGTGGGTGATGGGGGGCACAGAGTGTCTCAGGCACAGCTGGGAGCAAGTTCAGCCATGCTGAACTGCTTTAGCAGTGTTACTCCTGGCTCAGGTGGGTCACATCTGAAGGGGGCCAGCTCAGAACCTGGCATGTCACAGCTTCCCCTGCTTGGTGGGAGCACCTGGGGTGTCTCCTGTGTCTGCTGGCAGCCAGGCTGGGCTGGGCAGGCGTGTGCTGGACTTGCACACCTTTGTGCTGCTCTCCCCAGGTGTGGCTGTTCAAGCAGAAGCCAGAGTACCTGGATTCTCTTGTCAAGTACCACAGCTGCACTTCTGGGCTGGGGAGATGCTACGTGGAGCCTCGGAAGGTGAGTGGAGAGGGAGCTCCCTGCTGCAGGGCACTTGGCTGCGGGTCTGTCATCTGCTCTGCATGGGAGGGCTGGTGCCAGGGGTGTCCTGTGCCTGGAGTGGAAGGAAGATGCTTGTTGAATGCTAAGCAGCAGGAAGGGGATGTGGGGTTATCTGCAGTGTTTCCTACAGTAACTCCTGGCTTAGGCTGGAGCCTGGAAGATAATGGAAGTGATGATCAGAACATGTTAAGTGTGGAATGATGTTCTGGCTTATGCCCTGGTGACAGGTGTGTTTAGCTGGCTGTTTGTGAAGGCAGCAGCTCTGGAAATGCCCTCTGCTTTTCCCCAGAGCTGCCCTCGGTGTCTGCACTGGCTGCCCCGAGGAGGTGATGGTCTCACAGTGCTGTTTTCCTTGTTTTCCAGATGGATGTGGATGAAGACACTGCCGAGAAATTTTACCAGAAGCTGCTGGAGCTGGAGGAGCAGACTCTAGAGAAATACCGTGATCTCTTAGATTAAGTAAAGCCATCTCAGTGGGGTGAGAGTCTTGTATCAATGACCTGGGATTTCTTCATTCTGGTGCTACCTGTGGTGCCAGCAGGCACACGGCTTCAGACGCAATCAATCTTCCTTCTCCACAGAAGGTGAACAGTTCCTGAAAATGGAAGTGTGAAAACTGAAGAGAAGTGCTTAGACCTTTTGCTATGAGATTTTTCTTTAGGAGAAACTGGAGACCTCGAGTAGGCAGAGTCTGTCTTCACACAGTTGCGAAGCAGTGTCTTGCGAAAGCGTGACCGAGCTGTGCGTGGCTCGGGAGCAGCCTCGAGCCCTGTGCTTTCCATCTGGCTCAGGGCAGCACAGGCAGCACCCTGGGCTGCTGCCCTGCATCCTGCCTCTGCTGGCGTTTGTGGCTGGCTCAAACACATCTCCTGTGGCTGATCCTGATGTACTTGAAGGCTCACCTTCAGCAGAGCTGCCCTTGTTCACGGAACTGGGGCTGGCTGTGCAGACCTGCTCAGCAAGCTGGAGCCTCTCTGGCAGGCAGGGTCTGGCCAGCAGCTGAACCCAAGCTCCTGAGGAGCTGGCCTGAGGAGCACACGCCTGCCTCAACTGTGAGAACAGATGCCTCGCTGTCCCCTGGCTACGGGCACTGGAGGGTTTTAACCATGACTGGCTTGAAAGGATGATGCTGACCTGGACTGGGGGCCAGTGTGCTCTGTTTAGAGCAAGAGTGAGAGGTTACCATGTTCTTTTACCTATTTAACTCTTTTTATATAAATCTGTTGTACCAACCATTCTTCCTGTTGTTTATCTGGGGACCTTCACCAAGTACCTGCCACCAAGTAACTTCAAGTGCTGTAATGAATAAATGACTGAAACTGGTTTGTCCTTGATGCAGTGGTGTTTTTATTCCAGTATCCATCTGCCTTTGACTTTGGAGGGCTGGAAGGAAATTGAAATTGTTGCCTTGTGTGTAGCTGGGGAGTGTGGAGTGAGTCTGCCACAGAAGGGCTGGTAAGCCAGAGAGGTGGTGACTCCTTTAGTAAGGAAAGACATGAGTGATTTCTGAAGACTCCAGCGTGGTTTTGTGTGCTGAGCACCTGTGGCAAGCCTGAGACTATTTCCCAGCCTTAGGCTCCTGGGAAATGTCTCTGGTGCTTGCTCACCCTGCTGTGTCACATAATTAATTATGGGTTTAGTGCTCCCTTGGCTGGGGTCAGGTGAGGTTAGAGGGAGGCTGTGCTGGGTGCCCACAACGAGGGGACTCTGGGCTCTGGGTAGGAAACCTGCACAGAGCTGCCAGCCAGGACAATCCAGGCTCTCGCTGGAACTGGCCTGTGGGAACACAGAGTTAAAGCACCTTGCTTTCATTTTTTAACTTCTTCCCCTCCTCTGCTGGTTTGGAGCAGAGCAGAGGGGTGGCACCAGCAGCAGAGGTGTCTCAGTCTTGAGCTGGGGCTGAGATCTCCCAGCTCAGCCCTGTGTGAGGACCTGGGGCAGCAGCACTAGTGTGGGCAGGCTCAGGTGCCTCCCTAGGCTGAGCTGGCTTTTGGCCTGGCACGGAGCAGAACGAGGAGCTGCCCTCGCTGGGGTGGTGCCTCCCTCAGCTGTGGCTGTTCAGAGCTGGGCAGCAGATTGGGCTGTGCCTTTGGTGATGTTTATTTCAGTGCAGTAAAGCCAGTCCCAGCACCAGACCTGGATTCTGTGGCTTCGTTCAGCTGCGTCCTAAAATGCCCTGGGACCAAACCCCTGGTGCCTTCCCCTCTGCACAGGGAGTGTCAGTGGCTGGCTCTCTTCAGCTGGGGCTCCTTGGTCCCCACAGCATCCTGCAGCAGTCCTGGGCTCCTGGCTCTGGAGAGCAAAAACCACCTTGCCTCGGCTGCTTGTACTGAGAACCTGGAGCTTGGCTGTAACAGCAGCTCCAGCTTTGGGATTCCCACCTGCCCCAGATGCTGCAGAGGCACTCAGTCATTTGTCATCCCTGCCTCATTCTGTCTCTGGGCTGAGACAAATGAAATGGCAAGTGTTACTCAAAGCAGTCTGACAAAATGCTTCTGAGCTGAGTGATCACCTGTATCGCCCCGTGCCAGCTGGCACTGAGCTCTGCCAGGCCTTGGATTTGAATGCAGTGAGGTCCAGAGGTCCCAGAAGAGGTAGCTTTGAATAAATAACCTAGCACACTTAGGAAAAAATAAATGTTTTCTGATGAATGGGTTTGATGGTTCTGTTTGGGTTTGTTTTCTTAAAGCTTGGAAAAGAAGGGAGGATTTCTAGGATGGGCAGAGGCTGATCAGCAGAGGTAGGACCTCTCAGGTTTTATCTCAAGCTGGGATGGAGCTGGACATTTGACAGGAAAAGTGAGGCTGGGATGGGACATTTCTGCCTGTGCAGCCTGCAGGGGCTGATGAGGGGAGAGGATGTGTGACCAGTCTCTGTCCACAACATGGGTACCAATAAAGCCTTGAACTTGTTTCTGGTCCATCCTGAAAGCTCTCTGTAGCTCTCCCTGGAGGATTTGTGGCTCAGGGTTAGAGAAGAGGTGTTTTGCTGTCCTGCTGTGTGGTTTAGCTCCCCTGCAGCTGCTGGGGTGGCACTGGGTGCACTGGGATGGGTGTTCCATCCTGGTGGTGCACGTGTGGCATTCAGGAGTCCCGAGGGATCGGCTGCAGCCTGTGCTTCAGGGTGGCCTCAGACACCTCGAGCTCAGCTTCCTCACCTCAGGGTCACAGGGGCAAGGAACAAAAGCACAGGCTGAGCCCCGGAGAGTGGAGCCACCTGAAAAGATGGGATACATCTTGTCTTGTCCTGAAAACACAGGCAGGATCTGGATCCTTCCGACAGGGACTGCCCAAAGGCTGGCTCTGGCTCTGGCTGCCCCCAGGGGTGGCTGCCCACAGCCCCAGCTGGCTGTGGAAGGAGGGAGGGAAGGGGCCAGAGCTGTGTGTGTGCAGGGAAGGATGGCTCCTCATGCCCTGCTCCTGGCCAGCACTCAGCTGTGCACAGAGCTTGGCCCTTCCAGCTGGAACTCCTCTGTGCAGACAAAACAGCTCCTGCCCCAGGCCCTGTGGTGCAGGGTGGTGAGAAATCCCAGCTGGGATAGGCAGTGTGAACCACTGCTAACACAGAAGCTTGCTCTTTGTGATCCTTGGATACAGAAGCTTTCCAGAGAACCTCCGGGGCAGGTCTTGAGAGGGACAGCTCATGATTGCTCTGTAAAACCCTGCACAGTCAGCTGTCAGCACCATCTGATAGCTCACCTGGGCCTCATCCTGAGCCACTGGTTTTGCACCTTTGTGAGCAAACCTTGCTCCAAACACAGCCTGGCTTCTCCGCTGCTTTTCAGCTCAACTGGTTTTCAGCTATGTAGGACATGGATAACAGGAGGCTGGGTGGGAACTGAGCCCTGGCCAAGGGAGGAGAAAACTTGGGATCGGTGTGACAGAGCTGAAATCCCGTGGCTGGGTGACCTTTGCCTCGCCAGGAGGGGAAGGGATGGGATGGAAGAGAACAACAAGGACTGGCATGTCCCTGTAAACAGGTGGATGGAACACAGCCAGCTTGTTTGGAAAGATCCAGGCTTAGTGGATGGCAACTTTGATGTTGAAAATCGTGGTGGGGAGAGGAGAGACATAACTCTGAGCACCTGGGTGAGAAGCAGGGAGCAAAAGCCCCTCTGAGAGTGTTGCAGCAGCATGACCTGGCTGCTGGCAGGGAAGAGCCAAGAGGCACCTGGACCTGGTGGAATTTGCTGAGAGTTTTGTAGAGCCAGGACTGCCCCCAGGGTCAGGGAAGATTGTCAGCACTGCTTGAAAACATGGAGCTGTGCTCAGAGGAGAAATCAAAAAGGGAACTGGCAGACAATTCCTGTGAGAAGAATCAGTATGAGTGTCAAATTCCTTGTTGAGCTCGTCAGTCGATGCTGCTGTGCAGGAGCAGAGCGTGGGGAGGCTGTGATGCTGTCATTAACATTTTTGGCACCAGTACTCAGTGAGAAGGGCCTGGAAAGGCCAGAGTGCCCCTGCAGATGCAGGGGTTGGTACCAAACCCAAGTGCTAGCAGGGGAGGGAGCGGGGCAGGCAGGTGAGGCTCACCTTGAGGCAGAGCAGCTCGCTGTGCACTCATTTCTCCCTCCAGGCTGCCCCAAGCACAGCAGGAGCGAGGCCAGGGCTGGGCTGTGCAGGGCAGCACAGCTGCTGGACGTGTGTGCAGGGCCCTGTGTGCTGGAGGAGAAGCTGCACAGACAGACAGACAGACAGACACGGTGTGCCACGGGGGCACAGCTCCAGCCCTGGCCTCCTCTGGGCTCCTGCTGGTCTCAGCAGAAGCTTTGGTCAGCTCAGCTGGGCTCAGCCTCCCTTGGGAGCTCCCTGAGTCACCAGGGGTGGCTGGCACCCCTCTGGGCAGGTGCAGCAATATTTTGTGTCTTTGTCATCCGAGCTCTTGGTGAGGCAGCAAAAGCCAAGCTGGCTGTGGTGGTTTGGATAAATCACCCCCACACAGCTCTGTGAGGGCTAGAGCAGGGTGCTGCTGTGTCCTGGCAGCTGTGTGCCCTGAAATCACTGGCAGCACCAGAGCAGGGCAGATCCCCATCCTTAAGCAGCTCGGGGCTCGGGGGCTGCCCCTCATCCCTGCCCGCAGTTCCTCGGATCCCTTCCAGCGGCCCATGGCTCCCTGGGCTCTGGGCAGCTCCTGGGTTGACTCAGGCCCTCGCTGCTGTGCCCAGCTGGTGATGGAGGATGGGGCAGGCAGGGGGCAGGGGGAGGCACGGCTCGGGTCAGGGCAGAGGTGTGGGGAGCTGAAGGGCTGGAGGCTGCCTCAGGACGGCTCCTCCTGGGGCCCTGGGCTCGCTGCCAGGCAGGGCAGGGGCTCAGGGAGCCCATAGCAGGCACTCTTTGGGCTGGGAACAGGGAGCAAGGTCAGAGAAGATGGAATGGCTGCAGCAGGGGCAGCCTGGGCTCCGTGCACACCTCGGGTGTTTTGTTACAGCCCATGGTGATGTCCCTGGTCAAGGATGGCCCTCCTGGGGCAGCAATAGGCATTAATGGCATTAATAATTGCATTAATAACGACATTAATAATCCACCTCTTGGTTCCCTGCAGGGGCACAGGGCACTAGCCATTCTCCTGCATGCCCTGAGCTGTGAGGGGTCTCTGTCCATTGGGAGCTGGCCTTGGGCCCCCGAGGGAAGAGGCCCATCCTCTGCAGAGCGAGCTGTCTGCAGGAGGGACAGGGTGTGGGGAGCCCTGGAGCGCTCAGCCACGGGCACATCCCTGATGGAGCCCCCTGCCCTGCACAGGGAGGGTGCTGGCACGTGCCCTGGCCCACAGAGGGGCTCTGGGGACCCCTCTGCCATCTGCAGGGGGACCAGAAGTGCTGCTGGCACTGAGCCTTTGCCTTTCTGAAATCCGGGCACAGATTCACCAGTGAGTGAATCAGCCAGCACAGGACAGCCCAGCAGGCAGCTCTCACCTCCTGGGCACCGGTGGCATCCTCCCACCCTCTGGTGATGGCCCTGGGCATTTCCAGCACCAGCAGAGCCCTCCCGGTGCCCTGGGGTCACAGCCCCAGCGTTTCATGAGCAGGGACGGTGAGGGTAGGGCATTCCTGCAGGAAATGTCACTCCTCTGTGCACACAGCCATCCTCCGTGCAGTCTGGGAGCTGGTGGCAGGAAGGTCCTCCCAAATGCCTCTTGGGCCCCCCAAAGCCCACAGGATCTTCAGTGAGCTGTGATGTGCTGCTGCTGCCCCGGGGCACACGGAGAGCGTGTTGGAACAGCTTCCATAGAATGTCAGAGCTGGAAGGGACCCACGAGGATGATCAGAGCACAGCTCCTGGCCCAGGACACCCCAAGAATCACACCATGTGCCTGAGGGCATTGCCCAAACACTTCT